GGGACCTGGCGGGCTCCGGGACCGTCACGTGCCAGGGCCTCCGCTGCTCGCTGCCAGACCTTCGCTTCGAGGAACGTGAGGGAGTTTGTCCTGGACAGAGCTCACTCGCGCAAGAATGAGAGGAGGAAGCGGCAGTCAAAATTCTCTGCAACCCCACATCCCTCCCCATCCTAGGAAATTTGTGTGAAACAATAGAAGGTCCCAGGTGTGTGACACAGGAAACTAGCCTTGCAGGAGTGTGCCGATTGGGGGATATTTCCTGGGGCCTGGTGATAATGACTTAGGACGTTGCAGCACAGACACATAGAACGTACACAGGAAACCTACGCAGCGATCAGATGAGGAAACCAATACTCCGTTCTGAGAATAATAAAGTCATATCACCACTAGACGTTACACTCTCCATCAACGTAACGGTGCTGCATCTATTTGGTACCCTTACGGGCAACTCCTGCTATCTTTATCTTTAAATACCACTAAAAAGGGAAATTAAAAGATTCCTACAGATCAATTATTTTTATGATTACTAATTATGCATTCTTTAAAAAAAAGCATAACCCTGTTAATAATATTAAGGATGATATTCAGAATTGTGTTCCCATTACTAGAATCATTAACTATTTCTAAACCTATGCTTGTGTGGTTCCTATGCTTGTGGTATCAAAAGTTAAAGGAATCAACAAAAGCACATTGTGTTGGTTTTAAACGTCTTTTTAGAACACAGGTCTCCAATGGGGGCCACCTGAGCTAATTACAGTTTAACTCTATCTCCTGGTAAAAGAGGTTAAATTGATCTTTTTTCTTTCTTTCTTTCCTATGATCTTTTCTACCTCCATTCTTCTTTTCCACCTTCCTGCATCCTCCTTGCGTTGTTGATAAGCCATTTCCTTGGAATGACACCTGGATTTTCTTCTTGAGGAGGATGTGGTAAATTACTCCCAGAGACTTTATTTTAACCTGCTTCTAAAGCTATGCTGACAAGAGTTTAAAATGAAAGTTATGTGAAGTAGATACATAGCCTCTTCCTACATAACATACACATGTTAGTAATAATATTTCATTTGGAGCTGTACTTAGGGGAATGGCCATTAAAAATAATAATTCATATTTTTAGCATCTAAGATCTTATGGGGTTCAGAACATGCTTTCTCTTCTTCACAGAAAATGAGCAAACAGTTCATTAAGACAGCAGTCTAACACAATTCTCAGGGCCAGGGTTAGGGAGGAAAAAATTCTTTTTCTCTTTTGAAGATTATATCAAAAAAAATCACGACATGATAAATCACTTATCCTGAGCGTCAAAAAATCTCTAGGCCTGAAAATGGGAGAAAGCAGGAATTGCTTTGAACCAATGGATTCCAATAAGTAAGATTCTTAATCCTTAATTTTTAAAAATACAATTGCTGACATATGGCCATGGTAGAAAATCTAGCTCATCTTTCAAATACTGAACTTGGAATCATTCATCTGGTTTATGAATACTTAATGATTTTCACTGTGCCTGGTTATAAATGAATACAATGCATGAATAAGAATATTTCTCGGTATAAAATGTCTCCCAGGGAACTGAGAGGAATATTTTTGCATCTTTTATGATCTTTTCCAGAAAAGTACATGTACATGATAGTGCAGTGATTAATTTATGAAATTAAGATGAAAATTATACCTACCTAGCCGTTTAAAGCTCAAAATTTACCATCGGGAATTTTCAAGGAAGGAAAGATAAAGAAGGCAAAGCTTTGTAGATTTTGTTAATTCTAGTAAACATACAATGTGAAGTGAAGCCTTTATGTGGAAAGTTGGGCATCAGACATGCACAAAGGGCCCTCTAGTGGCCAAACTGAAAAGTTTTTTCCTATTTAACATAGTTGATCCATTTAGTTATTTGCTGAAAAATGCTTTGTGGATTAAAGCAGTCTACATTTTTTAAAAATTGAAACTTAATACCCGCCATCTTTCATTCTTACAAATGTGCAGCCCAGGTGAGTAAGGTCTGCTGTCAGTCACTTGTTAAGAGAAGTATTCTCCGTGTAAAGGAGATTCCTTGCGGTCTGGTGTTCGTTAAAGTAGAGCCGCCACAATTTTTGTTTTCCTTCTAGAGCCAGATAAAGTGGATGGGTAGAGATAACTGGTAAGCGAGAACATTTCTAGATCTTTCACGTTTCCAAGATGGCTCAGTTCCCCATCCTAGGAACTGAAGTGCCTCCATACCTGCACTGCCAGTGACACTGCACAGCTAATACAAAATACATTTTAAGTGTTATTTGAGATTTCTACACGAACTACTGATCATAAACAGTATCTGTTAAGAGAACATTTTTAAGGCAATGTTCTTGAGTGGAATTCAAATTTTCGTGTGAAGATTTCACAGCATTCCAGTTTGGGCCCCGGAGATAGGAGGGGAATGTTTTTCTTACCATTCCCGCCCTTTCTGCCACTCCCTCCCCACAGCTTTCCCCGCCATCTCCCCGCAGCTGTGGAGTTGGGAGGGACGGGGGATATATCAAAGTGATGTAATTCCTGACTCCGAGATGGTTACCATGGCAACTATCAGGCACATTACACTGTAGGTAGAGTAAGAGCTTCTTTAATCCAGCCTTCAAGGAAGGTTTTTTTTCCGGAGGTGGGGGGCAGAGGGGGTGAGTCCACAGCCTATAGAAAGTGAATAGGCAGAAAAACGTCAGTGTTGAGCCTCCCACACCTCCCACCCAGTGTAGACACTCCTTAAGCTAAACCCAGTAGAGAAGTCATTTCACGGATGGGAACCAGACCTCGCCGTCCCTGGACTGCCACCGCAAAGGGCATCCTGGCTCCCCAGAATCTGAGAGCTCATTGGTAGGTGGTGTCGTCACTCAGAGTGACGTAATGGGTGAGGAAAGAGGTGGAGCCATAGAGACTTGGCTTGGGGCCCTTCTAGCTGGGGAGCTGGGGGAGGAGGGGAATAGGGAAGGGACTGGAGGACTGAGGCAGCGGTTCCGGGGAGCCGGCCGGAGGAGGTAGGGGTGGGCGGGCCAAGTCCTCCGGCTGTTACTTGGTGGACCGCGCCTGCCTGTTTTCCTCCGGAGCCTGCTCCCTCCGCGTCCTGCTCCTCCCATCAGCACCCAGATTTCCCGACAGCTTCCAGTCCCCACCCCGCACTCCCCTCAGCCCTTGACCTCGGGCCTGCGCCTGCTCCCCAACTTTGAAGCTCATCCTCCATTGCCCCTCCTTCCGTGCTTCGCTTCCTCGTTTCTCTTCTGTACCCTGCGCCCCGCTCCTCCTCGCCTTCCTTCCATAAACCTGGATCGCCAAGACTCGGGTCCCCGAGCCTGCATCACCCCCTCTCCAAAAAACAAAGACCTCCCCCCGCCCGCCCAGACCCCACCACAACAAACACAGTCCACCAACACACAACGCGCACAAAAGCCACGGGCTGGGGAAGCCGAGGGCGCGCTTTGCCCCCGTGTCGTCGAGAACCCGAGGCCAAGGTAACCCAAGGAGCCTGGGCCCTGGGCGAGCCGGCGAGGGGGTGCGAAAGCGCAGGCGGGGATGCCCGCCCGGCCCCGTCCCGGCCCCCCGGGGAAGTGGTTGCCCACAGTCCGGGCTGCGAGTGCCCCGGGCGGGAGAGCAGATTAACCGCCCGGTAGGGTCTGGTCTCCCTCCGGCAGGAGACCATCACCCGCCCTTAGTCTGGGTTCAGACGTTCCCAAGTGTTATTTGAATTCTTGTTCAAAATGTCATCTCCGTGGCCGAGGTTTCCGTCCATGCCAGACCCTGGTACTCCTTTCCCAGCTGCAGAGTTGGCCTAAGGCTCTTGCCGCCCTCGGCTGTAGGATGAAGAAAGATTTTGGTACAGCTTATTTAAAGGTTTAAAGCTCAGTTTGGGCTCTTTGGAGAATCATTAGCACAGAAACCCGGTTTACCTCCTCTTAAATTATCAGTTGGTACCATGTATATTTTCACTGCTACATAAATGAGTACTTTCCATCTTTAAAGCTGCAGCTTGGCCAAGGATGGGAAGAAAGCTCATTGAAAACAAACCCGGGATATTTACTGTCTACCTGTGGTTTTAGGCTACAAGTAAGTGGCTTGATTAACTTATTAAATACTTGGCAACCATTCAAGTAGATGTACCATGGACCAGAAATCAAGATGTGAAGATCGCATCATCATCATGAATATCATTGTATTAGAGATCCTTTCATTCTTTTTTATTTTTTACCGTATAATGTCTTTTTTTAAACATTTTTTATTGATTTATAATCATTTTACAATGTTGTGTCAAATTCCAGTGTAGAGCACAATTTTTCAATAGAGATCCTTTCTATTTGTTGAAATCTCAAAGTACCATTCTCAAATCCAGGGCTAAGAAAATATCATTCATGATTGTTGGAAATGAACTTGAGGGAGATTTCACACCATGAATAGAATATGCAGATTTTCTACCTTTGTAATAGCTAAAAACACTTCAGTCCTGATATTCATACACTTGATGTGTTTTGAAAATACTGAATTATTTACTTACTCCTTCTACCTAGGTCCTATGTTGACTCGTTGAGACAAATATAAATAATGGCCTTCTACAGTTATAATACAGTGTCAGCTATTGCTCGAGCAAGGTAAGTCTTAGAATTCCCCCTCCCTCCAATAATTATATGAAATTGATTCTTCTAGATAGAAAAGATTTCTATAAAAGGATAGGCTTAGTACACAATTAAAGCTTTGTTGGTTTTAACTATGTTGGTTTTTAGGCAGCTGACATCTTAATGTATTTAAACTTACACTAGATTTTCTATACACTTTAGAACACAGGCTGAGTAAATTTGTGGAAGTGTGGTACAGGTAAGATAGAAGACGGAATGGTTTGGGAGTGACGCCTCTGTAACTGATGAATGTTACATGAGGCCCTTAGATGTAAAGAGGAGAAAAATGGCTGGCAAGCAAGCCAGTCCTAGGGCATACACCTGCTGCATCAGATCTGTGTCACTTATTTATCCCAAAGGATATCCACTGAGAACTTACCATGTGCCAGATACATTGTACATTTTCCCTTTTGGCCATTCAAAAAGTGCTTTATCCTGGAGTGCTTCAAAAACCATCTGAAAGGATGGGAATAAAGCCATCTCTTTGCCAAAAGAAGTCTCTTTGCCAGAAACCTTTGCCTAGATGGGTTTAATTTTTATTTTCAAACAATCTGAAGTGCCAGTTTAGCTGAAGATTGTGAGCTGTTGCAAAATTAAGATGGAGAGATCCCTGGCTGGGGTGCCCGATTCTAATTCGTATTCCTCGCATTCTTTAGGAATCTTAGGAGAAGGGCATTTCAGCTATAAGTCCCTCTCATTGGGAGGAGTCCCAGGCACCCCAAAGACAAAGCAGTATTATGTGATTGGATATTATTTTTCTTAATAGCAGTATTATTAATCCCCACGAGGACCATGAAATGTTTCATTCAAACAATATTTCTACCATCAGGAGAGTAGATGAAGTCACAGGTGTTCTACCCATTTTAGGATAATAGAGAGAAAATTTTCAAACATAACCCCTGGTGGGAAAATGTTTGCTTTTTAAATGAATAGCTGCAGAATATCTAACTTGCAAGACCGCGATTATTCTCAGGACTTAACATGCATATTTCTCAGGGAATATGCCATTCCCCCATAAAGCATACTGCTCTTCAGCTCCGCTAAAAAGTTACATTTCGTTCATTAATGAACAATATCTGCTTTTAAAACTCAGGCTTAAAAACTATTGTTGTATTTTCCCAGATAAAGTATCTATTTCTTTAATTTTTAATGTTGTAAGAGTATGTGCTCAACTCAAAGGATGTTGCTCTTTATTCCAGATTCCCTAGCCATTTTGTCCATCCCAGCAACTCTCCTTACTCCCCATCATTTGCATTTCTCCACTTGCCAGATTCCCGTTTAAATAAAATACACGTGAAGAACTTAGGAAGCATGAAGTACTCCTGCCCTAGTCAGTCAGGCAATAAGGTACTTCACTTCCGAACTAGAATTACACAGAAGCTGCACACATCTACTTGCTGGCTACAAGAGGTCCCCGGTAAACGTCAGCTGGAGCAAACCGCAAAAAAGCCACAGGTGCCAAGCCCTCAGCCAACAAAAGACACGGGCAAGAAGATTAAGGAGGAAAAGCGATCTTACAGACAAATAATTACGGATGAACTTAAATATTATCACAATGGATTCTATTTGCTTTGGATTGACACCAAGGTTGCTGCCCGGATGGTTTGGAGGCTGTTGCACGGACAGGTGCTGACCAGACGAGAGAGACGAAGGGTAGGCAAGAGTCATATTTGAGAAAGAAAATGTAAAGTTAAAATGAACTATTTGAGAACCAAGTTTTGAACTCAGCTTAAAATTCATCTTCCAAATCCCAGAGTAGGAATAGTAAGTCATGGCGAGAACCAGAGTTTCTTATTTGTTTGCAGCTGACTTGCTGTACAACTAACTTTGGGCAGGATTCTTTAAAATTTTTTGTACATTTGCCCATAGAATGGTTATAACTGTGTTTTCTAATCTCTCCAAGGAGTTGAGAGGCTTCAGGTTTGATCTGTGCATCCGTAGTAGAAACTGCCGTTAATATATTTGACAAATTATTTTTTTATTGTTTAGTTGATTTACAGTGTTATGTTAGTTTCTGGTGTACAGCATAATGATTCAGTTATATATATTCTTTTTCATTATAGGCTATTATGAGATATTGAATGTAGTTCCCTGTCAAGTGCATTAGGACCTTGTTGTTTATCTTTTTCATACATAGTAGTGTGCATCTGTTAACTCCAAACTCCTAATTTATCCCTCCCCAATTTCCCTTTGGTAACCATAAGTTTGTTTTCTGTCTGAGAGTCTCTTTCTGTTTTGTCATTAAGTTCATTTGTATCATTTTTTTTAGACTTCACATACAAGTGATATCATGTGATATTTGTCTTTCTCTGTTTGACTTTACTTAATGTGATAATCTCTAGCATGTTGCTGAAAATGGTATTATGTCATTCTTTTTTACGACCTGAATAGTATGTAGTCCATTGTGTATGTACACCACATTTTCTTTATCCAGTCATCTGTTTATGGACACTTAGGTTGCTTCCATGTCTTGGATATTATAAATGAACACTGGGGTGCATATCTTTCAAATTAGAGTTTTCCCCAAATACATGCCCATAAGTAGGATTGTTGAATCATATGATAACTCTGTTCTTAGTTTTTTAAGGAATCACCATACTGCCTGAAAAACCAATTTTAACGGATACCATATTATTAAACTACAGACCCCTAACATAGATGAAAGCTAAGAGATGCCAATAATATGTTTTGGTTGTCACAGATTTCCTTCAAGATATCCCAGAAATATTACTTCAGAGAGGAAAATCTGGCCTTTCCGTTTTATAAACAGCTGCAGAAAATCTGTCTTGGGTTTTTAACACTTTAAGAACGAAGACAGACTTTTTTTTTTTTTTGGTCTGTTTTGTTTTGGACATGTCCTAAAATAATGAATATTGCATATGCATTTAATTCTTTAGCTGTTGAGAACATGTGCTGATTTCTTCCGCCTGGTTCCATTTTTGGTGTTCATCATTGTCCCCTTCATGGAATTCTTATTACCAGTGTTTCTGAAACTCTTCCCAGAGATGTTGCCATCAACTTTTGAAAGGGAATCCAAAAAGGTATGTAGGATTTATTTAGCTTTTTAAAAAATGAATAGACTTAAAAATTTTTTTAACTGAAACTTAATTGATTTACAATGTTAGTTTCAGGTATACAGCAAAATGATTCAGTTACATATGTACACACATACATATAATTTCATATTTTCTTCCATTATATTACAAAAAACTGAACATAGTTCCCTGTGCTATACAGTAGGTCCTTGTTGTTTATCTATTTTATATATAGTAGTGTGTATCTGCTAATTGGCAGGCTCGTAAATTATTCCTCCCCCATGACTTTCCTCTTTGGTAACCATGGTTTGTCTTCTATATCTATGAGTAAAAATTAACAGACTTTATTTTTTAGAGCAGTTTCTAGATTTACAGAAAAATTGAGCAGAAAGTACAGAGGGTCCCCAGATAACTCCCTCCCCCACCATTTCCCCTATTATTAACATCTTGCATTTGGATGGTACGTTTGTTACAATCGAAGAACCAATATCTGTACATTAGTATTAATTAAATCTTATACTTTACATTGGAGTTCACTCTTTGTGTTGTACAGTTCTATGGGTTTTGAAAAATACATAATGTCATGTATCCACTGTCGCAGTATCACACAGAATAGTTTCCCTGCCCTAAAAATCCCCTGTGCTCCACTGGTTTCCCTGCCCTAAAAATCCCCTGTGCTCCACTTCCTCCCCTAAACTGTAATGATCAGTAATCTTTCTACTCTATTAGTTCTGCCTTTTCCAAAATGTCATGGAGTTGGAATCATACAGTGTGTAGCCTTTTCAATCTGGCCCCTTTCACTTAGCAAGATGCATTGAAGGTTCTGCCAGGTCTTCTCATGACTCCATTGATGGATGTACCACAGTTGTTTATCCATTCACCTATCAGAGGACATCTTGGTTGCTTCCAATTTTTGGCAATTATCAACAAAACTGCTGTAGATATTTGTGTGCAGGGTTTTGTGTGGACATACGTTTTCAGCTCATTTGGGTGGCTACCCAGGAGAGTAGTTGCTAGATTGTATGGTAAGACTGGTTAGTTTCATAAGAAATAGCTAAACTGCCTTCCAAAGTAGCAGTACCATTTTGCATTCCCACCGGCCATGGATGGGAGTTCCTGTAGCTCTTCATCTTCATCAGCATTTAGTGCTGTCAGCGCTTTGACTACTAGCTGTTCTGATTGGCACATAGTGGTACCTAATTATTATTTTAATCTGCACTTTTCTGATGACACAGGACGTTGAGTATCTTTTCACATGCTTATTGGTCATCTGTGTGTCTTCTCTGGGCAGGTGTCTGTTCAAATCTTTTGCCCACTTTTTATTTGGGGTGTTTTCTTATTGCTGCCTTTTAAGAGTTCTACACATGTTTTGGATACAAGTTTTTTACCAGATATTTCTTTTGCAGATCTTTTCTGCCAGTTTTTACTGTGTCTCTTTTTATGGAGCAAATGGTTTTAATTTTAACGAAGTACAACTTATCATTTTTTTTTCCCCTTGGATCATGCTTTTGGTGTTGTATCCTGAACCCAAAATCATCTATACTTTCTCCTACATTTTCTCCTAGGAGTTTTAGATTTTTGAGTTTAACATTTCAGTCTGTGATCTATTTTGAGTTAAATTTGGTGACAGGTATAACATTAGTGTCAAGTTTTTTTTTTTGCCCGTGGGTATCCAATTTTCCTAACATCGTTTGTTGAAAAACTATTTTAGCTCTTCAACCACTAAAAAATAAAACAAAAATCGGCTGTTACTACAATGACTAGTTGAATGGTAGGCATGATTTATCCAGCCAGCCAGACCCTTTGTGAGTGGTCCTTGAGAAGAGGGTGTCCCCCTGTGACGGTCACTGGAAAGGTGAAGGGCTAGACCATAGAGGCAGCCGCTTCATGCTCTCTATCTGTGCCACTCTTCTGGGCAGATGGATGAAGCCACAGATGCAACACTATGAGGCCATGAGGGCAACTTTTCAATCAGACCGGGAAATGTTTCACAGAAGAGGTGACCATGGAACCAAGACTTAAAGAGAGTAGATTTTTACCATAGTGTTTGAAAGGCATGCTGGGTAGGAAGAATGAGCACTCAAGATGGCTTAACAGTGTGGAAGAATATGACATCTCAGAGACCACTGACTGGTTCTCTGTGGTTGGAGCAGGGGGTACAAGGTGACCAATGGGAGAAGATAAGACAAACGTCATGTGCTGGGTCAGGTTGGAAAGCATCCACCCCCCCTAAGGAATTTAGACTTTACCTTTGACACTGGTGAATGAGAAAAAAGTGGCTGATCTGTATTTTAGATTAATCTAAATAATCTAATCATGATTAGAGCTGCATTTTCAAAAAATAATTTGCTAGCAGGAAGGATTAAGGAGGGTAGGGCCAAGAGAGGAAAATCAGCTAGAATGTTTCTGTAGTGACACAAGAGAGATGATGAAGCCTCAGTGATAAAGGTTGCATCAGGAATTACCTGGAAGGTAGATTTGAATTAGATTTAAGGTGTAGAATCAGATGGCAATATTTTACTGTCTGGCAGCAGTTTATTTTACTCACATTTAAAGTAATGAGGTTCTAGAATTAATACCATAGGATTCCAAGGAATGCGTTAGTGCACGCGGGAAGATGGGGGACTAGAGAGACTGATTTATCTAAATAGTCTTCTTTCCTCAATGCTGTTCATTCCCCGAACATACAAATAGGCACCTCGTGGCCACAGTCCTAGAAAACACTTTCTCCTTTGCTTTGTTCCATGAAAGAGGAAGAGCGCGTAAGAGTGAACGTGAGTGTGCTAGCTGCCTATTTCCACCAGCACAGAACACGCCCTCTCTCTCCTGGTACTTATCAGGTGTATTTTACAGTAATTTGTGGAATTACTGGATTGACATTAGTCACTAGTGTTTGTCCCTCCCATCGGACTAGAAGCTCCATGAAGGCAGGAATTCTTATCTGTCTTTGCTCATTTTATCCCGAGCACCTCACATGCGGTAGAGACTCAATAAATAAATAGATGGTTGGATATAGATGAATGAAATGGATGGCTAAATGGGTTTTAATGATGGTATTGCCATTGTGTGACTTTTTTGGGGGAAGCTGATTCTTCTAAGAGCTCTCTAGAAAATCAATGATTGCTATGATTGGCTGGTCATTAGAATCTCTAATGGGAAAATATATATATATATATATATATACACATACATATATGTCTTCCTGTTCCTCTCCACCCACCCTGAGTCTTGATCATAGTTATTTTGAAAATGCTACAACACACACTGCATCTCTGATAACGAATGAGGATTTAGAAATATTGGTCAACACAGTGTCTTAAGAGTGTACATTTAATTCTCTTTGTGTAGTGCTTTGTTCAAATCTGTTTTAGCCTTAACTCATTGTCTTGTAATTAACTGTGCCTATTTTATTCTTAAACTGTAAGCTACTTTAGCTTCGTTTTCTTTGTCTGTGGCCCAAGCAAAAGCTGGGGCCACTCAGACCAAGGGTTGGCTTGGCCAGCAGCCTGCATGTTTTGTACCAGGTTAAGAGACAGTGTGTGTCTTATTCGAAATAGTGGCAAAGGCTCCCCTTGAGAGGACATTTGGGATCTATCAAATATTTATGGTCATTGTATTAGTGAGAAATAAATGGTAAGATTAAGGAGACAAGTTGCACATTGAGGCTACTTTTTATTTGCTGTGATTCTCGAAACCCATTCAGTTAGGTCTGAAAATAATATTAATACTTGAAATGGGGTTGAACAGCAAAGCCAGAGTTATTTTCCTCTCATCTCTACTGAGTTGTAATCATGTAGGGTTGATTCACTTTGATTAACCTTTTCCTCTTCTATTATTAAGGAAGAAAAACAGAAAAAGAAAATGGCTGCAAAGTTGGAAATGGCAAAATTCCTCCAAGAAACAATCACAGAAATGGCGAGGAGGAACAGGGCCAAGCTGGGGGATGCCTCTACCCAGTTCTCATCCTACGTCAAACAGGTGTCTGTCTTCTACATAAACCCAGACAACTTCATGTCACCACGGAGCTTCCAAATTGTTCAGAAGCTCTGAATTTGCAAATATCTAAGTTACAGAGATATACTATTGCAAACATTTATGGGAGTTTGCAGAAAGACCTATCTTAAATCCATCAATGTGTTGAAGATGTTGATAACTTCTTGGAAAGAAGAGAATGAGAGTTCAAACTTTTGAACGTCTTCTGATGTTTCCGTTGATCTAGTCTGACTTCAGACAGATTTTTTTATTCCTCTTTGATCAGAGGGCCCAGTTTCAGACATAAAATAGAATCCATAAATGCTTTGGTGTGTCTTTCAAATAGTCTACATGGAAGATTCAGTTGAGTAGGAAGCACGTTTTAATTAGCCTCTTTGTCCCACTGCTAGGTCCAGACGGGCCACAGGCCCAGCACGAAGGAGATAGTCCACTTTTCCAAACTCTTTGAGGATCAGCTGACCTTGGAACACCTTGACCGGCCTCAGCTGGTCGCCCTTTGCAAACTGCTAGAACTGCAGTCCTTTGGAACCAACAATCTGCTCCGCTTTCAACTCCTGATGAGACTGAAGTCAATAAAAGCAGATGATGAAGTAAGAGCTTAACTCGAGGTGTAAGGAATCAGCAAGGCGTTGGGGGCTGTCTTAGGGTGGCTTTGTGATGGAGTGCAGTGTCTCCTGGGAGGTCTGCTCATGGACTGGTTCTGGTAAAATGAGTGGTTTAAACAACCCTGACAACCTGAACCTCGATTACTCCTTTCAGGAGCCGTCTGTTTTGCTTGGACCCACATTCTTGAGGAGGCCATTGCAAGCAGTTAGTAATTTGGATGTCTTAGCTGGGGCTATTCTAGCAGCTAGGACCCGCTGGGAAGGAGCAGAAGAAAAGCAGACCCCTGAGAATAGTAGATTCCACTGCCAAGGATAGTGCTTTGCCCCCGCCACCTCTGTTTCCCTCCCGCAGAGCTGGGCCAGTCTGCCTGATGAGAAGGGGTGGCAAAGAATAACTCGGGGGTGAAGGCAGAGCCTCAACACCTTCTGGAACAAGGGTACCATTTGGACCATAGTTACTAATTAGAGTCCTTAAAAAGTGGAAAGGATGTTTTTTGAATCTGAATCAGCTGCTTTAAAAGCCTTCTGCCTGAGGAAGCAGGATTCCCAGAACTGAGAAGGCATGATCCCATCCACCCCATTTGGATTTCAGCTGTTGCTCTCAGAACTTTGGAACAAACAGTACTGGTCCCAGAAGTACCATTGTTTGGGGTCATACCAGGCAGCAAGTGTGTTAAGTTATTTATTGAAGGAGTTTGCAAACCAGAGAGTTAGGGCGGTTCCTGGGTTGGTGGTGGGGTTGGGGGACGAACATTCCTGAAATGTACAACAAATGGTATACTGAAAGCTTTTCAAGTGGAGTATTTTTCTAACAAGTCTCAAAGCTGCTATAAAAGGGAAGAGGAGTAGCGATGTCACAACCAGGCAAAGAGCGAATCAAGAGGGGAAGGAATGACTCCGGTGACAGACTTGAGGAGGAGTTCTGTAAATATCTCTCATGTTAGTAACACCTGTGGGCAGGACTCCATCTCAACCGCTGCACCTCCCTAAGTCACCTTGTTTTATTTAAGTTCCTTGTCTTTGCAGCAGTCAGCGCAGGGCACAAAGCGTGAAAGTGTCAGAGGCTGCGTGTCCCCTGGTTTGCTGGGATTTAGGGATTAGGTAAAACTGGAATCCAAAGACCCAGTGCCATTCCTTACATGTTCTTCAGATAATTGCCAAGGAAGGGGTGAGTGTTCTGAGTGTGTCAGAACTGCAAGCCGCCTGCAGGGCCCGAGGGATGAGGTCGCTGGGTCTCACTGAGGAGCAACTGAGACAACAGCTCACAGAGGCAAGTAGCAGCTTCCCCGGGGCCCCTTCGCCGGCACCCTCTCCCCTCCCCTTTGCAGACCTCGCTCTGTGGTTTCTGCTTTGCCAGCGAACCATCTTACCTAATTTGCCTTCTGGAGCTGGGCAGCAAGAAGCTGAGGAAGCTGGATGTCTGTTAGTTTCCTATTGCTGCTGGCAAACCACCGCAGTGGCTCAAAGCAACATCCATTGACTGGCTCAGGGTCCAGCAGGTCAAGAAGCGCAGGCTGTTTTCCTCTCTGGAGGCCGTCAGGGAGACTCTGCTGCCAAGCTCCTCCAGTTTGTTGGCTGAATTTAGTTCCTCGCAGCTGTGGGAGGGAGGTCCCTGTTTCCTCACTGGCTCCCAGCCCCCTGCTACTCTCAGCCCTGGAGACCCCTCCATCTGCAAAGCCAGCAAGTGAACTTTTCGCATGACCTCCAGGTCCAGATGTAAAGGTCTCACGTGATTAGGCAAGCCCTACCCGATAATCTTTCGATTTTAAGGTCAGCTGACTTGGGACTTTGATTATATCTGCAGAATCCCTACATGGCAGCACTTCGACTAGTGTTCAGTGAGGAACTGGCAGAAAGTGTAGATACACCAGGGACTGGAAGTCTTGGGGCCACCTTTGAATTTTGCCCCCTCCAGGTATTGTAAGGGCTTGAGCAAAAGCTTAACACAGGAGCTGGCATCTGCGTAAACCCACCTGGGGGTCTTAACCTTGCTGGTGGCTCACCTGGGGCTGCTTTCCCAATCAGTGCCCCAAACCAGTGTAGAGTGTCGTCTTTGTAACACATTTGCCCCTCAGATAACAGACTTTCCCTCAAATAACGGATTTTAATTAAGATTGTCAATGCCTTCAAAGGAAGTAGTAACTCCTATTAAAATCCTCATTCCTAGAAACGTAAAAAAAAAAAACTCTGTGAAGTGTACACAGATCATTGAGATAGGAGCCATTGCTGTGACTTTGAAACCATGTCAGGTAGCTGTTTCTTCCCATGCTGGACCCACGCTGGTTGGTAGATGAATATATTGTAGTTACTTAGACATCAATTTATTTCTTGAACATGGAGTATTAAGTGACTTCATACTGTCAACCTGCTTTCTTGAAAGGATGTATCATTTCACGGTCCCACTTCAAGGGGGTGAGAATACCAATCCAACCATGTGATACTCAGCACTATGTATTATTAACGGTAAACTTACAAAACATCTTCACTTCGTAAAAAGAGAAATGAAAACCATGAGATTCCATAGTCAGCTGTTAGGTTGGGAAAGGTCAGGGTTGACGACGCAGTGTTGGGGAGGGTGTGAGGAAGGGGCACTCATGCACTGCTGGTAAAACCCTCCGTGGACGTTTGGCAGGAACTTTCACAGTTTAAAAGTGCATTTACTTTGACCTAGAAATTTCACTTCTAGGAATTTATCCTATATTCCTGCATATGTGCAAAATGATGTATCTGCAAGCTTATCCATTGCAGCACCATAGCAAAAGACTGAAAACTGCCAAAAGTTCATTAGTAGAGTCAAATAAATTATGGCATTTCTATATAGTGGAATCCCTTACAGATGTTTACAAAGAAGGCAGCTCTGCATCTGGTGGTATGAATCAATTTCCAGGACATTTCAGTGAAAGAAAGCAAAGGACGAAGCAGTCTGTCTCATCCTTGGTATAGAGATAAACGTATAGATGCATATTTGTCTGTGCACCTCTGGAAGGTTGTATAAGGTGGTTGCTTCTAGGGAGGTAAATAGGGTAACTAGGAAATAGGGGTAGAAGGCAGGCTCATTTTCACTGATTACATTTTATTTACCTTTTGAATTTTGTCTCTCTTGTATGTATTACTGATCTAAATATATATATATTTTAAAATGTGGCCAATTTGATACTTGAAAAATTACATCTCATTCTCATTTTAATGTTTGTTTCTTTGGTTATGAATGAAGCCGATTTATTCTTTTACACACATTACCTACTGTGTATCCAAGAGAAGATACTTAGCTACTTGGATCCACAATTGGTTCGAGAGTCTGACTGAACGTTCCATCTCCCTCGAGTGTGATCCGTGATCCCACTCCCACTGGGGTGAGGGGCTGCAGGGCCCACGCCCAGGAGATGAGTGTTCCTGGCCTGGTCCAGCCCATGGTACCCGGTGGGCGCCTGGGGGGCTGTAAAGCCAGGGAAGAGCCCGTGACAGTGGGTCAGGCCCAGCGCTAACGTTCTGTGATTGTCATGTTTCACCCCCTCCTGTTCTCCAGTGGCAGGACCTCCACCTGAAGGAGAATGTCCCCCCTTCTCTTTTGCTCCTGTCTCGAACCTTCTACCTGATAGACGTGAAGCCAAAGCCAATTGAGATACCTCTCAGTGGGGAGGTGAGTCCTGGGTCGGTGGGGAATCTGGACCCCATGACTGGGGCCTCGGCACAAATGTCTTATTTCTTTACAGTCGGGTTAGGCTTCTCTTTTGGCATATCTTTTGGAACTTGTCCTACCTGGCTTTAAAATCTTTTTAAAATTCCTTAAAAAAGTGAAAATCGCTCAATGACCTCTAGCTATCGGGCTGTTACTGTCTTTAACCCCAGCTTGATTTAGAAGTCTTCCCAATAGGAGTCCAGTTTATTCTTTCTCCTTAACTATCTAGTCTTCATTAGCAGACTTTTTTTCCCCATCACTGCTCTTTCTCCTTTGAGACTGAACAGTTCCCATTCTTTTATGTCTATTTCATTTGTCCAGATTCCTATTAATGTTTAAGCAGTGAATGGCCAATCTAGAATGTAAACACATTTTTTGGTCTTCCCTAACCCTCATTTCCTTAATCATTTTGTGTTGCCTTTAACTCAGCAGTTTTTCTTCTCCCCGTGTTTTACTGAAGGACCCAGGATGGCCCAAGCACTAGAGCATCTTGCTCTGGGTCCATCAAGAAGGGCCTCTCACGTCCCTACTTTGTGGCTTCAAGTCTCAGGACTTGAGTGGGTGAGAGGGGAGGGACCATGAGAGAAGTTGCTGCACACATGGCTGAGTGGGGTCAGCTACGTGCTCTGGAATGAGGACAGTCATTCTGAATCTTAGCTGTGCAAGCGAGTCCTGGGGGAAGCCAGCGACAATGGTATAAAGTCCAGCATGAAAAATGCATTGAGGAAAGGCCATCTTGCTCTCCCTTTCCACACCTCCAGAGACCACTCAGGATTTGAGCTTTGTCCAGAAAGGATTCTAGGAGACGAGGAGCAATTCTGGAGCACAGACCAGGCCCTAACGGGCGTCTGGGTTCTTACTCTCTCTGAGACAGACCGGCTATTTGTTATCCTCAGACGGCTCTCAGGAGCAAGGAAATCTTGGAGTAGCACCATGCCTCGGAGCTAAATTTGAGTTTCGGAATTCTTCTAGAGTGGCATAAACTCTTGATCCAGATGTTGCTTTCTGGAATGGTTAAGAAAGACCGAGGAATTAAGAACAAGCTCCTAGACATTTCGTTGTTTTTGTTTTTGAAATCCATGTTTTTAAACTTCTATTCTCCATATGTACAAAATGAGAACGAGTAGTGTGCTAGGTTCTATAGAGAACTGAGATGTCAAACTGAATATACTATAATTTTCGATATATGTAGCCTTTTCCCTCCAAAGTACATTTAGAAATTACTTCCGAAGAGCAATGATATATTTACTTTTCAAATCTAATTAACGTAATTGCTGAAGACAGGTTAGCTAGCTATTCTAAAGCACCACTCCCTGTCTTAAATATTAGAATCTAATTAGAGTACAACTTTTATTTATAGGATGCTCAAAACTCACAGGATAAATTACACTAAGTTTCTATTTCAGGGACATATACTTCATATGTTATTCATAAAGGAAGTCAGGGATTTAGTGGAAAGCAAACTTTGCTAGACAGCTTTGACTACTGCAGAAGAGCTTATGAGCTTCAGAAAGGCTTAGTTTATATAAAATATTTCTCTTTCTAGGCTCCGAAGACGGAGATTCCTGTAGGATCACCCACTTCCCCTGAATCTAAAGAGAACGTGGTGGGGTTAGCACCTCAACTGAACGGAACTAAGGTTAGACAATTACTTTTCACTTGATTAATTAGGTTAAAAAGTGAAAATAACAGAAAGTTAATTTCTCTGTTTTTTAACCCCCTTAACGGTGCTGAAATTCCAGACAATGGTGTTCTTTCAGAAGGAATTTGTATTGTACTGTTTGATCTGTTTCTAAGAAAGTTCAACATTTGGCTATATGTATTCAGCTTCCAGATTTTGCCTCTTGAGTCCTGTGCCAGGTGTGAAGTAGTTGTTTCAAGTTGCTGGTAGTCATGGCAGTGACTGTAGCTCCAACACACACTGTGTTTTAAGCCAGTAACCCAACTCTCACCTCTGATGTTTAAGGATGAAGAATTGATACAACTCCCACCAGTGACATCACCACCCACACCACTATCAAAGCCTATTTCATTACCTAAAGGATCCATCACCTCTGCTAAAGAAGCTGTAAGTTTCTAAAAAAAAGAAACCCCTTTCCCTCTAGTTATTTTTAAAGGGCAGCAAGAATCCAAATTTAGAACCGTTGCAGAACAGGGCTCCAGCTCTTCCTGTTGTCCTAACAGGAAGTTGTAGGCTGAACGTTAGACATCTTATAACCACTACATTAAAAAAAACAAAAACTCAATTATCCAAAAGCAAAAAAAAAAAAAAAAAAATCAACAAACACAATCATGGATGCGACCTAAACATGTTAAGTCTAGAAGCTAATTACAATGTAGGCAGATTCTTAACTTTCTTTCACACCAGATGGAAATAGTTCCCATATGGTGTGTATTTCACACAGGCTTCAGATGTCAGGAAATACTAGCAGGGAAGCAATTTAAATCTTAGAAGTGCACGTAAATAAGAAATTACTTATTTACCCACTTTTCCCATTTGGGGTGAGAGCAGAAAGCATGACAGTAAACTGTAGAGGGTCACGAGAGAGCTGATCTGGGGGGCCCTCAACTGGCTCCCGAGGACCAAAGAGAGAACCAGTAGAACACCCAGATCTTTAATCCGGGGGCCTTGTTTGCATGTCTTCTTTATTTTTATTACCAAGGGAAATTATAAGCTGATTTGATGTTGTGATCTGTCATTATTTTGGGGAAAAAGACTCCCCTCAAATTGTGCAGGTCTCATGGTGACCAGCACCTAAAGTCCTTATGTTTTGTGTCTTGACACCCCAGGCCAAGTCACAAAAGACAACCCAGAGCAGCAAGTCTAGTTCAAAAGGAGCCTAAGGACTACTGGAGGATGAAGCTCCCTCTCTCCAGCCTCCTGACCTCAGCAGTGGCCTCCAGAAAGGACCGATGTCCCAGCTAAGACTGCTGTCTCTGGTCTGAGACAGAAGATCAGCTGTTTAGTCCTTGGGGCAGCCTTTCTGAGGTCTCGCAACCATTCAGATGACGTCAGCAGCGAGCCCAAGCTCAGAGCACTTGGAAAACGATCATCACAAAGTCCATTTGCTCTGTAGCATCAGGTCATCCCACTGGCCCTTGGGTGAAGCCCACTCGCCATGTTCTTTTTGAACAGCTGCATGTCCTTCAAGGGAGGAAGTTTTCTGCATAGTGGAATCAGCTTGGTGACCCCAAGGTCACTTGGAAACTCCAAAAGCCAGTGACTGTGAGAGCACCTGACTGGCCTTTTCAGTGACACATCAGCGGGGACAGTGCCCTGGAAACAAAGCAGCTTGTGAGATGGGATGGATAGAACTCCGCGGTCAGGCCTTCTTGGATATAAAGAAGAAAAAGCTTCTTGGAGAAGAAAGTGGGGCGCCAAACAGACTGGCAGTCACAAAGACTTGGCTGCTCTGAGACATTCCCTCCCAGGCCTGCAGGTTCCCAGCCTGTGGGAGCCTGGGAGCTGCCACTGCTCTAGCTCACGTGGCTTCCATCAGCCTCCATCTTGCTAGGAAACGTAATTAAGGGCTTAAGACTTAACCATTTGTCTGTGCTGGGTGTGTGTTTTTCCTGGTCTGTTTGTCTCTCACAAACAAGACTCTTTGTTAGTCATTGGGCTGGTTAGAGTCGGATGTAATCCTTCCACTACCCAGTAACAAGTATTACGTTCAGATATTTTCTGTTGGGTGTCTTCCGTGCTGTCAATACTGAAAAAAACCTAATAAATAGATCACCACGCAGCTGAGCAACAGCTCTCTTCCCTTGCGGGGTGTTTAGACGGGAAGAGGTATTTCAGCTGTGGGTGATGAAATTAGATTTCTTTACTTGCTGTGAAATTGCCATCAGTCAGACGGGAGGCCAGGGAATCGAGTCAAACGCAACCCTCCCCGTCTGCGATCTTCTAAACGAGGAGTGTTGTCAGCACTTGGCAGCAAGGAAATGCATTTTAGGGCGCTGCCTGAACCTCCCCTCCACCAGAGGACAAGCCTCACCACGTCCTGCTGGGGACTCCAGTTCCTGGAGGGTGACGAATCCTGATGGGCGGCGTTCTGTGGAGCTGGCCGTCGGCCTCGCCAAGGTGATTCACAGGCAGCGTTCCCGTTTTCAAAATGATGGGTGTTTCTTTTCATTAGTTCACATTTCAAGTAAGAAAAGGACTAGCTGTTCACGGGCTGGATGATTCACAGGCGCTGCTGGGCTGTCCTCCACGTCTCTCCGGCTTCGCCCGTGAGCAGCGTGGGACTGGTTAGGTCCAGGGGCCCCCAGTCAATGTGCTGTCAGATGGACTTTGCCCGTTTTTGCTTCATAAACAGGCATCTAGGACACCCGATGCACCTCTCTTCCCATTCTTCTGCGAGTGGCTCAGAGACGTCAGGGTTGCTACTTTGTTCTCATGTAGAGCACTTAGCTGTCGGGTTCCATGATCGTCAGACCCAGCCCGGGCCGAACCCGACTGGCAGCGTTCTGGTAAATAAATGATCAACAACCCACCCCGGCGGGGCATGGCTGCGGGGAGCCCTGAATTATAGCATCTGCAGATTCCAGGGATGTAAGTGACGCCCACACGGCTGATTTCAAACTCCCAACAGGAGGACACTGAGCATCCCAGAGGTGGGAAGCGATGTGCACAATCAGCTCGAGACCACACTTGACCCATCCCAGCCCTCCTGGAGTAACAAGTAAACCTCTAGTTGGTGTGTGCAGCCAATGTGTCGGTTCTGAGCACCAATACAGACATGTGGGACGCAGCACAACGTACGTGGCCCTAGATACTGATAAGTGCTGAACACCCAGGCTCCTGCTGACCTCCCTCTCCCTGGCTCTCATCCGCGGAGGGGCTAGAAAGGCGCTCTCCCACTCTCCACCCTTCCCTGCAGATGCAAGTGCCTGTACCAGCTGCTAATAGTCTCACTGAGTACAATTTTAGGCATTTTCTACAGCCCCACCTCAGTGGTGATGTCAGGCTTGGCCTGTGTTGCACACACTGAGGGGAGTTCTACTACAACAGAAAGGCGTTGGTGGCACTGGACACATACGGACCTGCACTTGGTCTAATTCTGTATCTCAACCATTACAAGTCACCCCGGTGACATCGAATCAATGCCCTATAATGTTAAAACTGAGGCTAAAGGTCTCCCAGTCACCACTTGTGCACACCTGGAGGTAAGATCGGACTAAGGGAACCTGAAAGCAGACTGGCATATGACCTAACCTTGACTGAGAGTCTGGCCTGCTGGCTCCTCCCAGTGGCGGCTGATAAACACAGCGACTTCATTGTCATTGAGATCGATTTCTTCATCTGAGGTTCAATCTTACTTACCTGGGGTCGATATAGTACATTAGTGGTGCCTGGGGACTGAAGACGCCCAGCCTATGGCAATTAGAAAGGGCAGGAAGGCAGTATTGATTAACTCAGCGGTGATCCCAGGCCCTCGTCTTTTAACCCTCAGGAAACCAGACAGATTCAGTGCCCTGACAGCACGACATCTTCATTAGATGAACTGGATTCCTTTCCTCAGGAGACCCAATCTGGTCATCTAAGTAAAATGGCCATTTCATTTTCTCTCAGGTCAATTTCACTATCTTTTATTTGACAGCCAGCTCGGTCTCTTGGGAAATTTGCGGGGGAGTAGAGTAGTAACAGCAAGGACATCACTGTTATGATAACAGTACCTTAGATCCCCCAGCACCTCTCCTGAAGGCACATGAAGCCCTTTTTAACAGATCCTCCATCCATTCATGCAACATGGCTTCCAGGGAGGGCCAGGCAGAAATTACCATCACTGATTTACAAGGAAAGACACCACTCTCAGGTCTCAAGCAAATGGTTTTAAGAGCTAAAATTCACTTCTGGCTCTGTTCACCAACTTAATGCCTTCTTTAAACATAAACACGAATCACGCTATGTTGACAGTTGCATATTTACAGAGAGACACAGGAGAAGAGAGAACTTTTACAACAGTGGCCAACACGGCAGCTGCCAAGAAATAGCTAGCTCGGAAAGAAAAGTTCAAGAGCAATCCTGTTCTCCCTCTAGAAAAAAGGAAAGGATTTTTCTTTTGTACCCAGAAGGGGTTCAGCAAAGAGCAAGCTTGAGATGTAGAGGCCGCTGACTAGCAGGCTGAGCGCTAAGGTTCCGAGGAGCCAGGACCCACCTCGCGAGGGCAGTGATGGGCCAGGAGGTGGCAGGGGAAGAAAATTTCCAAGCAGCCAAAACACCATCGTTAAGAGAATTTCTACCCTTTCCTGAGGGATGAGGTCTGTACAGAAAGAACTACAGGAAGCCAAGATGGGGGACAGGCCCAACACACGTGGTCTGATCACTCGAATACAGGCAGAATGGGACGGGGAGGAGCATGAACACAGGAAAGTCTGGGAAACGAGAAACCTGAAGCAGGGGGCCTGGAGGTAAAGCTAGTCTCAGGTGACAAGTGCGTGCTCAACGGAACCATACCCACGCCCACACAGAGGGGCAGCTCTGGGCTGGGCTGGAATGTCTGCAGACTCTTGTCAAACCATCCTTAGCTCTCTGCTTCATCACATTCTCTCTACCCCCTGGGCTCAACTGAGCCTGGCTCAGCCCCCACCTGGCCTCACCATTTCCCCCAGGAAATGGTCAGTCATGGGGGACTTCGGGACCTGGCCCTGGACCTCCGCTTCCTGCCCATACTGCACCCACCTTCTGTCCCTGCCTTTCCAAGAGCATCAGAAAGGTAGGAGGCTTGTCCGGAGGCCTGGGGGCAGGACCTAAGGGGAGGAACAGGAGGAGGGGACCCAGGCAGCAAGCTGCGCCCTCGGTACAGACAGCCCCCACCCCAGCCCGTCAGCCTGTCTTCTTCCCAGCTGACGTTCCCTTCCGCGTCACACAGCCTGCAGAGCAATGAAGCAGCAGCAGTTTTTATTGAGGGACCTAAACTGAAAATAGGTTTAGAACATAATTTAAAAAAATAAAACAGCAAAAGTAGCAAAAAATATATGACCTTTTTAAAAACATTTTCCTTTTTTTTTTTTTTGCTTTTTTTCCTTTGTTTTTCATATATAGCAATGGATGTCTCCCAGCCGCCAGGAGCATCTTACCCAATGGGTAAACCTCTGGTAACGACCCTTTTAAAAAGACATGTAAATATATACTCAGATTTATACACTTTGTGTTTTCTTCATAGCTATGTACAGAGCCCCCGGGTTGGGGCTGGGCCCCAGGGCCACGACACTGCCCCCAGCCTCTGCGTCCCCATCCTCTGGTACCAGGTATTTGGTCAGCAAAGCAAATTAGTATTGGAATTAATAAGCCACTGGCACCATCCATCTGGGGCAGAGGTCGCCTTCAACCGAGGCCTGAGCGCAGATTCCCACCCCTCCCCACACCCCACCCCCGACTACCGCTGTAGCCGGGGGACCAGGCACCCGCCACCAGAACACCGGTGTCAGGGCCACAGTGGAGCAGACAAAACCAACACAGGAAAGCTCGGTGGGCTCTCGCTCGTGTGCTGCTCATCTTCCACTTCCCGACCCTCCAGGCGTCGGGCAGGGGCCTTGGTCCCACATCTGGGAGGCAACGAAGTGGCATTCAGCGAGTACCTGCTTCCCTGCTCCTCTGTGTCACCAGCAGGCTGAGAGGAGGAGGGGGCGACAGGGGAGCTCAGGGGTGAAGGCCTCAGGTGGGCAGCTGGCTCCTGCCAGCAGGAAGGGGCAGAGGGAAGGCAGTGAGTCCAGCAGGAGTGGGGGCAGGGCCGCAGCTGAGGATGGAGTCCGGACAGGGGTGCTGGGGGGCTAGTCAGCGCCGTTTGAGTCCGCCATTGGCAAGCTGGGCCGGGTGTCGGGGCAGGCAGGGCTCCTCGGGCAAGGGCTCATGAGAGAAGACGGAATCCTCTCCGGAGGAGCAGGTGGAGCTGCGGGTGTCGGGGAAGCTGGGGGAGTATTGGTCCAGGGGCATCGACAGGTCCAGATACTCCTGCGGAAGGAGACAGAAGGACGCTGGCCCCGCGCTCTCCTCTCGGCGGCAGGATTAATTCAGAGAGGACCCGGCTGGTGGTGACTGAAGACCTGGGAAGGGCAGCCTCACCTGGTTGGAGGTCAAGGCCACGATGCGGTCCAGGTCTTCCACCAGCTGCTTGAAGGTAGGTCTTTGTGAGGGGACTGCATGCCAACAGTCTCGCATCATCATGTACCTGGGACAGGACGAGGAGGTCAAGGGAGGAAGGACGAAAGCAGGCTTACGGCGGAGTGACCGTCTGGAGAGGGCGTCTGGCTCGGCACCCCTTCCTTCCTCTCCCTGCCAAGCCCATCCCTCCCCCAGGGCCCAGCCCAGGACTCCGGGCATCTCCTCACGCTTACAGCTCATTGGTGCAGTTACTGGGCTTGTCCATACGATGACCCTCTTTCAGCAGCTTGAAAAGCTCCTCCACAGGTACACCAGGATACGGGGAGCCGCCCAGAGTGAAGATCTCCCATAGGAGCACCCCAAAAGACCACCTGTGGACAGGTGCAGGGCCTCTGGGTGTCACGGGCACAGAGCTAGGCCACCCCGGAGTCCTTGCCCCTCTCCCGCGCCAGCACCTGAATCCACCCTCCGCCAACACAAGTCCTTCATCCCAGGGGACGCCAGGGGACAGTGGCCTTTCACCCTCAGGGAACAAAGTGATGGAACACATACAGTTTTTTTTTTCCTTTTTCTTTTTCTCTCCAGGATGGGATGCAGGACTCCCTGCACTGGAAACTCTCCCCGGATATCCCCAGCAATTGCTCATTTCAGACTTACACATCACTCTGGTGGGTGTAGATCCGGTCAAACAATGCCTCGGGCGCCATCCACTTCACAGGCAGCCGGCCCTGCAAGCAGCACGAGGAGATTGGGGGTGGCCCAGGGCAGGGCGGTGAGAGGATGGAGGGGCACACACAGGACGGACGCGGGGCAGGCACATTCTCAGCTCTGCCCGCAGCGCCAGTTTCTCAGGGAGGAAGCCCAGCGGGGCAGAGTCCCGAGCAGAGGACAGGCACCCGGTGCGTTGCCAGCACTTACGTTGGTCGTCTTTTTATAGTAGTCGATGTGGTGGATGTCGCGAGCGAGGCCAAAGTCTGCAATCTTCATCACGTTATCCTCTGTCACCAGGACGTTCCTGGCGGCCAGGTCTCGGTGTATGCACTGCAGAGACAGGACAGGGGGGGAGATGAAAGAAAGGAGGGTGGCAGGCAGGGGAGGGTGACCCTCCGGCCCCAGTGTCTGCTCTGCAGCTGCCAGGCACTTCCTGAACATTCCAGATTCCTGCTACAATGTCCCTCTCCTCCATGTCAAACCCAGTCATCCAAATGCCTCCAGCTCCAGGCCTCTTCATCACTTTAGCAGACCCTTCATATCTGCCATCCTTTCTTGCTCCTCACAGCTCTTAGCTTTGGATTTGTACCCAGAAAGCTGAATCTTTATGCTCGTGTCTGCACCAGCATCACGCCCTGTCTCCCTGGGTGCATCACATCCATGCTGGGCTGGGCTTAAACAAAGCAGCACCTAATGAGCACCAAGACTGTGCTGAACTCTCCCACATAGGACCTGTTCCACCCCCATAACCATTCTACAGCTGAGGTGTCATCATTCTGACTTCCCCTTTGAAGAAATTTAAGTCGGTGGCTGTCTGAGGAAGGTAATCCAGTCTGGCCACAAGGTCACGCTGGCTCTCCTGACACTGAGGTCCCCTGAGAGCAGTCCACACGCCCTCCACTCCACCCAGGGGAGCCTTCAGGTGCTGCACCTTCTTGGAGGCGAGATACTCCATGCCTCGGGCCACCTGGTAGGCGCAGGATACCAGGTCCTTGGAGGAGAGCTGCTCCTCCGGGTTGTGGCTGGGGTTGTAGCAGTATTCCAGCCCGGGCGGCCTCCGGGCCTGCAGGTACTCCCGGAGGTTGCCCTTGGAGGCGTACTCCACGATGACATAGAGAGGACCTGGGGGCACGAGGAGGCGGAGGCCATCAGGACAGGCCGGCTGGCACACAGGCTTAGTCTCACCCCCAGCAGCACACCGCAAGCGTGTTCTCCAGTCCTAAGCTCCCCTTTAGGGACCCCGGAAACTCGTTCCACTACCCAAAGAAAGTCAGGGGAATCATTCTTCCAGGGATAGTCCAGGAAGTTCCCAAGCAAAGCTGGGGGCAAGAGCCCTAACCTAGACCACAGTAACTCACCTGTTCCTGTCCACACACTGTGTGTGAATCCAGGTGCCAGTATTTTCAGACAAACCCCAAAGGGCATCAGCCCAGACGCTGAGAAACACATCCCAACTATTGCTAAACCGGGCTCTCCTCCCAACCCGCTTCCCTGAGCGTGGCTGAGAGATGCCCAGCCTGTTGCTGACACCCCAGCTTGGTTGTCTTCTCCCTGAGAGACAGCGAGAGGCCCCGGTGCCTGCCCGAGCCCCTCCCGCGCTAGCACGCGGGCGGGAAGCCAGCGGGGCTCGGCGCCTACCGTCCTGCGTGCAGGCCCCCAGCAGGTTGATGATGTTCTTGTGTTTCCCGATCATCTTCATCATCTCCATCTCGGAGATCAGGTCTGACAAGTCTTTCTCTGTTGCATCCGCTTTACAGACAAACCAGAGAAGGGGGTGAGACTTGTTTGCTTAGGAAGGGAGGAGAACAAGTGAGGGGGAGGGCTAAGATGTATGCCCAGGGCGCCCTCTTCTCTGGGATGTGCTTCTCTCCTCCCCTTTTAACCTCCAAATTTACTTTCCTCTCTCCTCTCCTGAGGGCCAGTGTTGCTGTAAGAGGTAGTGAGCGGGGCAGAGGCTATGCAGGAAAGTCAGCTGGCAGTGGGATCTGGAAACATCTGGGGGAGGGTGTAGCTCAGGGGTAGAGCGTGTGCTTAGCACGCACAAGGTCCTGGGTTCAATCCCCAGTACCTCCATTACAAAAAAATACATAAACCTAATTATCCACTTCCCCCACCAAAAAAATTAAAAATAGATAAACAACAGGTTTCTACTGTAAATACAGAGAACTATATGCAATATCTTGTAGTAACCTCTAATGAGAAAGAATATGAAAAGGAACATATGTATGTACATGTATCACTGAAGCAGGATGCAGTACACCAGAATTTGACACGGCATTGTAAACTGACTAGACTTCAATTGAAAAAAAAGTTGACTAAACACCTGACCACAACCCAGGTGGATGCCAAGGAACAAACTGGGATCACAGTGATTCTGGGGTGCAGAACACCCCCCACTCCTGGACGGACAACCCTAAGCAGGCCATGTAGCAGGTGCAGGCACTGGAAGGGCCCCAGGCAGGGTGTTCTCCTTGGCCCGAGGCCCACACTCTGCTTGGAAAGGGGAAAGGTCGTTTCTGCTAGAACAGAAATGCCACTCACACTTCAGCATCTTCACAGCCACTTTGGTCACACGGTTGGGTTTGTCCTTGTCCAGCCCAATGGCCTCGGCCAACACCACCTGCCCAAAGCAGCCCTCTCCCAGGGGTTTGCCTAAAACCAGTCTTTTGGGGAAACAAGGGTGGTATAAGCTGGGAGTGTAAAGTTCAAACCCAAAAGGACACCCCATCCCCCCTCCACGTGTCCCCCCAGCCGAGAGCAGGAAGAGGAAGTCATGGTTTCTGGATGCACCTGGTGCACCATCACTTCCTGGGAGGTCCAAGCCCATGCGACTTCCACCATTAGAATGACAAGTGGGGACTCCTCAGGAAGGGGAGAGGGTTACCTGTCTCGAGGGAGCTCCCAGCGAGGGTCTTCGGGAAGCTCGTATTCAGAGACCCCAGCCAGCATGGGGGTTCCACTGGAGGAGAGCCGGGAGGGCCGAACCAGCAGGACTCCTGAGTTCATGGACGCGCTGGAGTCAGCCGACACCTACAGGGAAGCGTGGGGTCACCCTTCTAGCGGAGATGGGGGGAGCGGCAGCAGATTCCTCCCACCCCACTCAGCGCTTTTGGCCACTGGCAGAGGGGTGTCCCTGTCATCTGAGTCCCCTCCCCAACACAGAGAGGCAGAAAGACCACAAGAGGTCAGAAGACCTATGTTCTATTTATTATTTTATAATTTGGGGGGGAGGTAATTAGGTTTATTTTTTTATTTTTTAATAGAGGTACTGGAGATTGAACCCAGGACCTCGTGCATGCTAAGCAGACACTTTACCACTGAGCTATACCCTCCCCCTGAACTACATTCTAAAACTGACTTATTTTCGCCACCAATGAGCCTTTCTGGGCTTCAGTTTACTCACCTTACTCATAAGCATTCCAGACTGACGTTTTGTAACTTATCACTGCAATAGCAACTCTACTCTTGTCCCAGTTCATTGTGAAAACCCTGCCTTAGATTCTGGATTGCTGATTCCCAAAGCTCTTTCCAGAATTAGCACGGCTCTGGGTGAAGGCTCCCTACTTTCACATGCCTGAACCTTCTGTTCCATTTCCTGGGACAAAGGGAGGTGGGTGCATGGGAGATGGATGGCCATCTTCCTCTCCCCTACTCTGTACCTTGGTACTGCTAACCAGCCCTCAGGGGGGCTGTTCAAATGTGTGTTCAGCACAGCTGCGTGTTCAGCACAGCTAGGACTATCTCCCAGTCTGCGTGCCGGGTGAGCAGGGCACTGTGGGGGGGTGGGGTAAGGTGGGCACAGGGAATCCATAGGCTGGAACAGCCGACAGCGTGGGTCTGAGCACTGAGGTCAGGATGTTCCCCTGCCCTGGCCCAGAGGCCAGGAGCAAAGCCTGGGGTGGTCAGTTGAAGACAGTGCACAGGACAGGGGGTTAGAGGGTCCCGGGGAAGCCCCTGGGGCACAGGGAGCCGGTGTGGCAGGGAGTGCAAATCCCCCATCTACTTTCTGTTACCTGTCTGCGCAGAGGGATGCTCTTGGCCAGCTTGTGCACGGCCATCTGGCTGTGGAAGTCACTCTTTTTGGTGCCGCTCTTCATCTTGTAGATGATGACAGACCCCACCATGCAGGAGATGAGGAAGGCCCCTGTGCAGTAGATGATGATCTCCAGGTACAGGGGCGAGGTCATCACCGCTGGTCGCTCTTCCAGGGCTGGGTCAGTGCGAACAGGGTGTTAGCGAGCTTGCAGGGCCCAGTCCACTAGGGTCCCAGCTCCTTAAGAAACTCAACACCCATCTCCTTTCTTCTGCGAATCTTAAGGGCAGGGAAGAACCAAGCCAGGTAGTAGCTAGGATGGGGTTCTGGTGCTGAACAGATGACACAATCTGTGATCTTTGAGGCTTCCTGATGCTGACTTGAATCCCAAGAGGGATGGACTAGAACTACTGCTATACCAGGCCCATCCTCATGAACTCAGGGGCCCTCCGTGCTCAGCCGCACTGCTGGGCTGGATGGGTACCAGGTACCCTGTGAGAGATGGCTGGGAACCCACTTCCGCTAGATGCCTTCCTCAGCGTCCCCATGGAAATGTGCCCCTTCTCTGCAGTGCGAGCACCAGGTCAAACACCTATCACTGGGGACAGCCGACCGTCCACGAGTCTGTTGTTATAGACAGTCCTCCAGTATCTTGAGGGCCCGGATGGCACCTCACTTGTGTCTGGAGGCCACGGCGCCTGGCATCAGGGGCACTCACAGAACGAGGACACGTTGGTGGGGGGAGAGAAAACCAGCCCGTGTCCTGACTGAATTCCTCCCCCTCGCCTGTGTCATCTGTGCAGGTCAGACACGTGCACGCCAGACCACAGGCAAGACTAACTTAATTTCCAAACATGTCTGGGCGGCTAAGGAGGAAAATGTAAGCTTTACTGCACTTCTTAAGAATTCTACTCACAGGCCTAACTCCTAAAACCGAAGAAGGAAGCTGGGGAGGGGGGAACTGTCTGATTCTCTTCTCTATTGAGAGTACGCCCTGCTCTCACCCCCACAGAAACCCGTGCAGTTCAAGCCCCCTCTCCCTCCCAAACAGAGGCTGGGGGGGGGTCCCATCTAGCACCGGCTTCATAGAACGCCCCCTCCCCGACGTGGAGGAGTCCCTCTTTCCCCAGAGCTCTCCTCCCACTCCTCCCCTTTTAAAGACCCCAGCCAGCCACAGGGGCTGGCACCCCGCGGACCTCCCCTGGGAGGCCCTAAGTGTGACCTCAGATGAGCCCAAAGAGAACTTCCCGAGGCCTGACAAGGGGACGGCAGAGCTGATAACACGGAGAAGTGTTTCTGTTTTTCTCTTTCCCCAGCGTCGAGAAACAGAGACAATGGACTGAGAGCGCACACAGGACACTGACAGCGACGATGATAAAAACAGAACGCTTCTCTGCCTCCAGTGGGGGCGTTATCAGAGGAGGAGACGGTGAGAGAGAAGACAAGAGGCCCGAGTCTGCAGAAAGCACAGCAGCAGAGCGCCCAGACCACGTGCAGCCCCGCAGCCACCAGCCCGCCACCCTGCACGGGCTGCAGTCTCCTTCCTTCCCGGCCCCGCACACACGCCTCCCTGCCGGAGGGTAAATGGACACCACCAAGCCCGCTGCGCTGTGCTGCCCGGGACAGGCCTTGCTTAAAGCAGCTCAGGTCTGCTCATCTGAGCTCCCCTCCCGCTCCGCTCCGAGGTCAGGGCAGGGCGGCAGCGTGGGAGTGTGGAGGATGTTGTTCCTTGCAAGCGGCAACCCCTCCTTCCAGCGGGGGCCTACATTCAGTTAGAAGAGGAGTGTGGCCTTTCTGAGACCTTGGGGGCTGGCCATAAAGGATCAGATGAGAGAAGGGAGGCCGCTGGACCTGAGGATGGAAGGAGCTTGCCCTGGAGGAGAGCCCAGCTGCAGGTTAAATCCAGATCCCATGCATGCATTGCACTGGACAAGGGGAGAGCCAGTCGCAGGCGTGCAGGTGGGGGAGGCCTCTGCCTTCCCGCACCACTAGGAAAAGCTCCCGTGTGAGCTGGGAGGATTCGACCCACAAGGCCGGACAAGCAGCTAGAGCCGCCTGCTGGCCCTTGAAGCCCGGCTCTGCGTCTTCCCCGGCCCCTCAATGCATGCTCCCCCCGTGCCCGTGGTGAGGGCGGGACATCGAGAGGAGAAGTCCAGTGTATACCTTCCAGAACGGTCAACCATGCAGAGTGATGGGAGAGTCCGATAGAGTTACCCGCCAAGCATGTATACTCCCCCGCGTCCTCAAAGGAGACATTCCTTAAGTGAAGCACCTCCATCTCTTTGTCGGTGGTATTAACTCCGGCAGTCTAGAAGAGACAACGGAAGCAAAATGGACAAGCCCGGGACATGAGACCTCTCAGAGATGCAGAGAGAGAGGGAAGGAGGAAGAGCAAAGAGGGGATTAAAAAAACCCAGAGGAAGAAATGCTCCCCAGCATCTCCTTTGCAACAAGGAACAAACAAAAACCACCAGGCAGCGCGAGACCTGTTAGAGGAAGAGAGTGAGACCCTGAGGGAGGAAGGCCGGCAGACCTGAGACGACGGTGGGGTGGCTGGTTATGACCCGTCACCAGACGCTGGCAGCCCCGGCCCATCCCAGCATGCGGCGGCGAGCTGCATGGAGAAATGCGGCCCGGCGTGCGGGCGGCTGTTTGGTTTCCAGTAAAGAAAGTCTCAGAAGGCACACACAGGAGGGATGGAGGGGGCTGCAGCCACACACACACTCACACACACACCCCTGTGGATGCTCGTCCTTTCTCTCCTCCATCACTGAGGACGCAGCAGGACCATCCCCCACGCAGCCGAGGAACACACACAAGGCACAGAGGGGGCGACACCAACACAGAACCAAACCAAACCAGCCTCCCAGGCCAGGTATTTTTCCATGGCTCCGGGCACTAGAAACACAGCAGGACAACAGGGAGGGCTGGGCGCTGGCCTCCCCACCTGCCCCAGCAGCTAGGGGCCCCCTCCGTATTCCCGTTACCTTTTGCCACAGGTCTGGTGACAGTGAGCCACGCAGACTGGTTAGCTTCACCAATATAGTTGGAAACCTTACACACATACTCCCCGCTCTGGGCCTCTGTCACATTGAACAGGGTCAGCACCTCTGCATCCGAGCTATTTATCCCCGAATGCTGGAACAAACCAACGACATGCCATCAGTTGGGCCAACCCTGAGATGTGGCCAGATTTTGCTCCAAGGCAATGTCACAGGCAGGCCCAGGGAGCTGAGGGAAGGGAGGAGCAAGAGAGACTTAGCACCTTTCCCTTCTGAGCAGGACGCAAGTGGATTTCAAAAGTCCGAAGCCCTTGACTGAAAAATGAACTTCAAAACGTCACTACCCACCCCAATCAAATGTTCTGTCTGTGTTAAACCCTCTCCTCCAGGACGAGGGCAGGAATTGTGAATGGAGACATGGTCACAGCCCCACTTCCTACGTGGCAGTTTCAGCACCAGGAGTGAGGGTGGCCGGTAAATCTTTGGGGGTAATCAGGCCAGGGAGGACGAGGTCTAACGCTGGGACCAGGAGGGAAACCACTTTCCCAGCTTCTGGTTACTTCCTGTTGTAGGATCCACTGGAGAATTAGGTAATTCTCTTCCCTGGATTAATGGGGCATTCAGGGACAAGGGCTGGGAGTGAGAGGAGAAAGGAAGAAAGAGCCATTACTCCTGAAACTCTGAGGGCTGACCTGTGGCCTTTGCCTTTCCAGCCCTACCTAAGTCGTGCCCGGTCATTCACCCCACGGGCCAGAAAGGACGTGACTCAGGAGCCAGGGCAGAGATTGGGAGACGCCTGCTGGAGAGGCTTTGGTTGCGGGCCATGGGAAGGCAGGAGTGCACACACCTTCCTGGAGCAGCTGCCCCGAAAGCCTGGGCACAGTCACTCTGGAAGCTCTTTAGAAGCCAGCAGTGCCCACCCTCCAGCCCTCCGTGCCCCTCGCATCTCCACCTGTGACCTGCCTCTGGTGGTCCTGCAGGATGTGGCTAGGTCCCCATTTAAGTCGGAGCCCGTGCGTGGAGGGAAGGGATGGGTCCCTGTCTTGGGCCCTGAGCTCGACCACAGCAACCTGGACCCTGGGAGACACAGGTCTCCTCCCCAGAGCCCAGCCCACGGAGACTAGGGCCAAGATTACCTTCAAGATCTGGACATAAGGCAGGTTGTCTGGACCAATCTTACTCCCGTTCACCTCGATGTGCTTCAGCCACTGGATGTGGGGCTGTGGGTCACTGTACACCTTACACATAAACTCCACGTTGCTGCCCAGGGCCACTGTCTTGTTGGCGGGCAAGCCTGCCTGAAGGATGGGCCGGTGAGGGGACCGCTCTGCAGAGGAAAGGAGTACAGGATGGAGGCCCATGAGGCTCTGCCGTGGCAGCTCCTGCCTGGGATGCTGATAGAGGGCATCCCGAAGACCGCCGAGAAGCGTGCACCCGCCTCGGCTCTCTCGGGGATGAGCAGTGCGCTTCCCAGGCCCTCGGACGGGAGCTGGGAGAAGGGATACTACCCTTCTCTATTAGGAGCCTGTTCCCTGAAGCAATGCATCTACATTCACAGGCATAAGACGTCTCTCTTTGCTTAAGGCAGAACCTCATACCTTAGTCGCTCCCAGACCTCAGCCCAGCCTACCTGCCCTCAGCTAAAATCAGTCACTCAGAGTCGTGCTGTTCAAGTGTGGTCCACCAGCAGCAGCACCAGCATCTCCAGGAGCTTGTTACAAAGGCTGAACCTCAGACCCCACCCCAGACCTCCTGGGCCAGAAGCTTATTTTCACACCATATCCTTCAAGCCGAGGCAGAACGCTGGCTGTGTAACTATTTATTTACCTTAAGGTGCTAGAGAATGAGATGCAGAACCTCTAGAAGGAAGAGGCTGAAGCAGTAGCACCCAGAAGCATGATGTTCTTCCTAGTGTCTCATGCAACACCTGGAGCTCTGCATTAACTAGGTGTCTGACCTCTCTGAGCCTCAGTCTGCTCTTCTGTGCAATGGGAACAACAGCATCTCCCTTGTAGAGGCGCCATGAGAGCTGCCTGTGGTGTATTTATGGTACCCAGCAGGGCAGGCTGCTAGCATTGCGGAGTGATAGCTACTATTATCCTAAATTTAACATCACTACTCCAGTCACCGCCTGCAGGGGAGACTATCAACAGCACCTTTCACTCTACGAGTCTGTGGTACAGGCTGATCCCTGCAGCTCTATTCACAGATAAGAAAAGGGGGTGGGGAGGTTGCAGTTCAATGACAGAGTGTGTGCTTAGATGCACGAGGTCCTGGGTTCAATCCCCAGTACCTCCGTTAAAAAATAAACAAATAAATAAACACACCTAATTACCTCTCCCTGTAAAAAATTAATTGTACAAAAATAAATGTTCTAAAAGGAAAAGAAAAGGGAGGCACAAAACAGGAAGGTGATGGAGCTAATAAATGCCACAGTGTCCTGACTGCATCCCTGAGTCAGCCTGGCCCCCGGCTCGCGGTCTTACCCACGACGTCCAGCTGGTAGGTGTGGTTGATGCTACCGTATTCGTTCTCCACGATGCAGGTGTAGTTGCCTTTATCTGAAGGCACCACTGAATCCATTATGATGCTCCAGGTGGCATAACGGACCTGAGGGGAAACATGCCAAAGGGCCCCACTGTGGGTCTGGAGGCAAACGGGAGCAAAGCCACGTGGCAGCGGTATTGGGGCCCAGTGGCTGTTACCGTCCCATCAGAGCACAGAGCCGAGTGCGGGCTGCACCATGAGCCAGGACAAGGCAGGCAATGCCACCCCAGCCCCTTTACACTCTGCAGGAGAGAAGCAGGCAGACCAGGGTGAGAACTCTGGAGGTCTGCCCACAACGGGCAAGGCCATCCATGATCTGGACAAACGTGCCGTCCTCACTCTCCCAAATACACTGGGAACTCTCCCAGCCCTGCACCTCTGTCCACGCTGTTCCTGTGCCAGAACG